CAAGTGATACCCTTCCACGTGAGGCTTGGAGGCACTCTCACGACCAAGGTGATAGCCTCTCCACGTTGGGTCCTTGGAGACACTCTCATGACCAGTGAGAGCCTCTCACGTTGAAGTTTGCTTGGAGACACACTACGACCTGTTGATAGCTCTCCACGTTGATTGCCTGGGAGACACTCTCACACAGTGATAGCCTCTCCACGCTGAGTGTTGGTGACACACTCACCCCCCGACCAGTGTTAGCCCTCTCACGTGAGTGCTTGGAGGACACCACTCACGACGCGCAGTGATTGCATCTCCACGCTGAGTGCCTGGAGAACCACTCACGACCAGTGAATAGCATCTTCCACGTTTGAGTGCTTGGAGACCCACTCTCACGACCAGTGATAGCCTCTCCACGCTGAAGTGCGGAGACACTCTCCGCCGACCAGTGATAGCCTCTCACGTTGAAGTGCTTGGAGACACTCTCATGACCAGTGATAACCTCTCAACGTTGAGTGCTTGGAGACACTCTCACGACCAGTGATAGCCTCTCCACGTTGAGTGCTTGGAGACATACTCACGACCAGTGATAGCCTCTCCACGTTGAGTGCCTGGAGACACTCTCACGACAAGTGATAAGCCTCTCACGTTGATGTGCTTGGAGACACTCTCACGACAGTGATAACCTCTCAACGTTGAGTGCTTGGAGACACTCTCACGACCAGTGATACCCTCTCAACGTTGAGTGCCTGGAGACACTCTCACGACAAGTGATAGCCTCTCCACGTTGAGTGCTTGGAGACATTCTCACGACCCAGTGATAACCTCTCCACGGTTGAGTGCTTGGAGACACTCTCTCGACCATGATTAGCCTCTCCACGTTGAGTGCTGGGGACACTCTCAGGTCCCAGTGATAGCCTCTCCACGTTGAGGCTTGGAGACACTCACGACCAGTGATAGCCTCTCCCTCGTTTGAGTGCCTGGAGACACACTCACGACAAAGTGATAGCCTCTTACACGGTGAGTGCTTGGAGACACTCTCACGCACCAGTGATGCCTCTCCACGTTGAGTGCTTGGAGGGAACACTCTCACGACCCAGTGGATAGCCTCTCCACGTTGAGTGCCTGGAGACACACTCACGACAAGTGATAGCCTCTCCACGTTTGAGTGCTTGAGGCACAACTCACGACCAGTGATAGCCTTTCAGTTGGAGTGCCTGGAAGACACTTCTACGACCCGTGATAGCCTCTCAACGCTTGAGTACCTGGAGACACACTCACGACCAGTGATAGCCTCTCCACGCTGAATGCCTGGAGACACACTCACGACCAGTGATAGCCTCTCAACGTTGAGTGCTTGGAGACACTCTCACGACCAGTGATAGCCTCTCAACGTTGAGTGCTTGGAGACACTCTCACGACCAGTGATAACCTCTCAACGTTGAGTGCTTGGAGACACTCTCACGACCAGTGATAGCCTCTCCACGTTGCGTGCTTGGAGACCCCCATTTACTCACGACCAGTGATTGCCCTCTCCACGTTGAGTGCCTGGAGACACAGACACAGTGATAGCTTCTCCACGTTGGTGCCCTGGGACACTCTCAACGACCAGTGATAGCCTCGTTTCGCACGTTGAGTTGCTTGGAGACACCTCTCACGGACAGTGATAGCCTCTCCACGTTGAGTGCTTGGAGACACACTCACGACCAGTGATAGCCTCTTTCACGTTGAGTGCCTGGAGACACACTCCACGACCAGTGATAGCTCTTTCCAAGTTGAGTGCATGGATGACACACTCACGACCAGTGATGCCTTTCCACGTTGAGTGCCTGGAGGACATCTCCACGGATCAGTGATAGGACTCTCACGTATGTATGAGTGCTGGAGTCACACACACGACCAGTGATCGACTTTCAAAGTTGAGTGCCTGGAGAACAGACCAGTGATAGCCTCTCAGTGGAGTGCCTGGGACACACGACAGTGATGCCTCTCCACGTTGAGTGCCTGGAGGAAACACGACCTGTGATTAGCCTTGCAATTGAGTGCCTGGAGTCACTTCACGACAAGTGATAGCCTCTCCAACGTTGGTGCTTGGAGACACACTCACGACAGTGATTGCCTCTCCACGCCCATTGATGTGCTTGGAGTCACTCTCACGACCAGTGATAACCTCTCAACGTTGAGTGCTTGGAGACACTCTCACGACCAGTGATACCCTCTCAACGTTGAGTGCCTGGAGACACTCTCACGACAAGTGATAGCCTCTCCACGTTGAGTGCTTGGAGACACTCTCACGACCAGTGATAACCTCTCCACGTTGAGTGCTTGGAGACACTCTCACGACCAGTGATAGCCTCTCCACGTTGAGTGCCTGGAGACACTCTCACGACCAGTGATAGCCTCTCCACGTTGAGTGCTTGGAGACACTCTCACGACCAGTGATAGCCTCTCCACGTTGAGTGCCTGGAGACACACTCACGACAAGTGATAGCCTCTCCACGTTGAGTGCTTGGAGACACTCTCACGACCAGTGATAGCCTCTCCACGTTGAGTGCTTGGAGACACTCTCACGACCAGTGATAGCCTCTCCACGTTGAGTTGCCTGGAGGACACATCACGACAAGTGATAGCCTCTCCACGTTGAGTGCTTGGAGACACACTCACGACCAGTGATAGCCTTTCCAAGTTGAGTGCCTGGAGACACTCTCACGACCAGTGATAGCCTCTCAACGTTGAGTACCTGGAGACACACTCACGATCTATACACCATCGATGTGACGTAGCTCTCTCCACGCTGTATGCCTGGAGACACACTCACGACCAGTGATAGCCTCTCAACGTTGAGTGCTTGGAGACACTCTCACGACCAGTGATAGCCTCTCAACGTTGAGTGCCTGGAGACACTCTCACGACCAGTGATAGCCTCTCAACGTTGAGTGCCTGGAGACACACTCACGACCAGTGATAACCTCTCCACGTTGAGTGCCTGGAGACACACTCACGACCAGTGATTACCTCTCCCGCTGAATGCCTGAGACACACTCACGGACCAGTGATTAGCCTTCAACGTGAGTGCTTGGAGACACTCTCACGACCCAGTGATAGCCTTCATACGGTTGAGTGCTTGGAGGACACTCTCCGACCAATGATAAGCCTATCAACGTTGAGTGCCTGGAGACACTCTCACGGACTGTGATAGCCTCTCAAACGTTGAGTGGCTTGGAGACACCTCACGACCAGTGATAGCCTCTCAACGTTGAGGTGCTTGGAGGACCACTCTCACGACCAGTGATAGGCCTCTCCACGTTGAGTGCCTGGAGTCACACGACCTAGTTGAAAGCTCTACACGTTGAGTGCCTGGTGCCACACGACAGTGATTACCTCTCCACGTTCAGTGCCTGGAGACACACGACTAGTGATAGCCTCTCCACGTTGAGTGCTTGGAGACACACTCACGACCAGTGATAGCCTCTCCACGTTGAGTGCCTGGAGACACTCTCACAACCAGTGATAGCCTCTCAACGTTGAGTGTTTGGAGCACTCGAATAGTCACTTAGCCTCTCCACGTTGAGTGCCTGGAGACACACGACCAGTGATAGCCTCTCCACGTTGAGTGTTTGGAGACACACGACCAGTGATAGCCTCTCCACGTTGAGTGTTTGGAGACACACGACTAGTCATAGCCTCTCCACGTTGAGTGCCTGGAGACACACGACCAGTGATAGCCTCTCCACGTTGAGTGCCTGGAGACACACGACCAGTGATAGCCTCTCCACGTTGAGTGTTTGGAGACACACGACTAGTCATAGCCTCTCCACGTTGAGTGGCCGGAGACACACGGACAGTGATAGCCTCTCTCGTGTGAGTGCCTGGAGACACACGAACCAGTCCTAGTTATCCACGTTGAGTGCCTGGGAGGACACACGACAGTCTGAGTCTTCTCCCACGGTGAGTGCCTGGAGACAACGACCAGTGATAACCTCTCCACGGTTGAGTGCCTGGAGACTCACGACCAGTGATAGCCTCTCACACGTTGAGTGGCGGAGAACTCACGACCAGTGATGCCTCTCCACGTTGGTACCTGGAGACACCACGACCAGTGATAGCCTCTACACGTTGAGTTACCGGAGACACACGACCGTGTTAGCCTCTCCCGTTGTGTACCTGGAGACACACGACCAGTGATAGCCTCTCCACGTTGAGTACCTGGAGACACACGACCAGTGATAGCCTCTCCACGTTGAGTACCTGGAGACACACGACCAGTGATAGCCTCTCCACGTTGAGTACCTGGAGACACACGACCAGTGATAGCCTCTCCACGTTTGGAGTACCTGGGAGGGACACACGACTGTGATAGCCTCTCCACGTTGAGTGCCTGGAGACATACGACCAGTGATAGCCTCTCCACGTTGAGTACCTGGAGACACACGACCAGTGATAGCCTTCACGTGGAGTGACTGGAGAACACACGACCTGTGATAGCCTCTCCACGTTGAGTACCTGGAGACACACGACCAGTGATAGCCGGGTCACCTCTTGGAGAAAACACGGGCCAGGACACATGCTGGAGAAACTGTAGATCTGGAGAATGTACAGAGAACATTCACTACATGGTTATGTACATCAACTTAATTACAGGGAAAGTTTGGAATCCTTTGATCTTGACCTGCTACACACTGCTGGTGTTCCTACACAGTGTAACCTATCATACAGGACAGTGTAGTACACTGTCGTGAAACATGACTGTTTTAAAAAAAATCCAAGGCACCCCCCACGTCCTGCTGCCCCCCATCCATCCCTCCTTCACTCTCTCCCTCCTTCCCTCCCTCCCTCCCTTCTATCCCCCACTCTCTACCCTTCCTCTCTATCTCATCCCTAGTTCTCGCTCCTCGCTTCTTTCTGTCCTCTTACCTCCTCTCTTCTCATCCCCACAAGACAGCCCACACAAAAGACCGAAGACTAAGAAAGGCGCAAGTACGCTTTAAGCGGTTCGCCACGGCTGCCGTCGCTACCCCATGCCGCAGCTGCGGCCGCCGCTCCCGCCGCGCATCACCCTTGCGCTGCGGCAGCCTCCGTTCCGCCAGCTGCCTCCGATAGATGGGCTCTCGCGGGGAGGG